GAACTATGCTACTTAGATTTATGCTTTTATTTTATGGGCCTACTGAAACAACTTTGCCGCAAAAGATCCAAAGTCATCAACTCATTTCAGAGTATCATTTAGAGTCCAAAGCATAAACCAAACCCAACCTCATTTGCAAAATCATAAAATTACAGAGTCAGCAGATTAATATCCACGATTTTCAGTTGATTCTAATGTAATCCGAGATTGTTTTTCTTTCAATTTTTCAAAAGAAAAAATTAAAAATCCAGTTTTTTCTTTTTTTTTCAAGCGTTGATGCGTGCGACAGAGTCTTCACAGAACATCCAGATTGTCTCACCTGGTGAAGAGCCACGGAGAGTGCCGACGGAGTCCAGTGGGAGGAAACAAAGGACGCCGAGAAAACCAAAGTCGGCCAAGAGAACCAGGACTTCCGTCACCAGTCGCACATACCCACCACTCATGGTAAGTTAATTAGCTTCGTTGGACTCACAAAGTTATCTATAATTTTATCTGAGCTCAAGTTTGTTTCAAAACTAGGAGGAAGAGGGGTGTTGTTGATGCTTTCTTCCAAAAAATTTAGCCCTCATCGCCAAAAGGGTCCTTACTTTATACTATCTTACAAATTCATTTTATGACTCTGGTCAATGGACTGCGTGTTTCTCAAAACAGAGAAAAAATGTTTCAATATATACCAGCAAAACTGCGATCACTCGCGATAAAAGACAACTCGCAACAAAAGACAAATTTTATAGAAATTGACAACTCACAAAATTTGAAAACTCAATGATAACTTAAGAATTTTAGTTAAAAGTCACCGGTGGGCGAAAAGTGGCTCTAAATTTTGTATAAAGTCCTACCACGTTGGCGCGACAACGGCGGTGAGTTTATTGCGAGTTGTATTTTAATACCAGTTGTGTTTCCTTGCGAGTTGTCGCGTCTTTGGTTTTACTCGTAGCTATGATCATAAAAAAAACAATCAGGGAATTTGATGTTCTTTTGGAAGTCGCAGAAGTTATTTTACTATAAAATCAAAAGGTTGTGATGTAGGCAAAAAATAGTTATCAAGTTTATAACCCCGCATTTGTTAACCCCTTTTTCTTAACCTCCTCTCATTTAACACCAGATTAGATAACTAAGTTTAATTTGAGCCCTTTTTAAAAACAACTGTCTGAATCAAACTGATTTTTTTTTAAAAAAGATTCAAAACCAAAGCGCCGGTAAACATCAAAGCTTTAATTGCAAAGAAATATGCAAGAAAAAGCAAAGTATCTTACACGCTACTAAAAACGGTTTAGATTTAAAAAAAGTGACCGTGCATGTAGTCTAGACTTTGATATGAATTTGATTTGATTTTGAGAACTAATCCAACTGGCATGATATAAACTAGTAGCCCAAAAAATAGATGTGTCCAAACTTAAACATGATTTTGATTTTTTCTGCGATTGATTTCAAAAATTATATGAAACAGTTGATTTCAAAAATTATGTGAAGCGGATAAAGTTTGTGACAAAAAATTCTATGCGTTTTTCATACACTAATTATTATAAGGTAAAGCTGATTTAAATTTTGGAACCATCTATTTTTTTCCTTCAGTTTTTGTTTCAATTGTCGCAAAAAACTCATTGTCTAACAACTTCGCCAGCTCCTAGACCAATCTAGCATCCGGCCAAAGGTGCAATCGTTCCGGGACTAAGCTGCTAGAGACAGCATTTTTCGATTGCGAGTCAAGACATTGCATTTTTCGCCTTTCCGGCAGACTGCAATGAGACGTCTGTTCCAACAATGTTTATTTATTTCAAAAATTCATTTTAAAAACAAATGAACAAACTTTTTAACCGATGTTGGCCATAGCGTGAAAGAATAACAAATCAGATTTTTTTTCACGAAGACGCCTAATATTCAGCTATTTTTGTTAAGGACGCCTTAGTTTCAACTTTTTTGTAAATTAGTGCCCACTGCAGGCATTAACGAATTTGAGTTTTCGAACGAAAGTATCTTTTTCTTTACATTTTTTCTTTTACTTTCCAAATACTTTCCAAAATGCTACACCCTGCTACAGCGTTTGTTTTTTTTTCGGCCCAGACAGGTGATGCCGCATCTCTTTGTCTTCAAAATGAAGGGAGAGTTGGACTTCTTGACTCGTGACAAGGAATTTTTTTATGTAGTTGGATTCAAAAAATACAAGCAAAGCTTGACAATTTTTGCAAATTTTTTGCCTTTTTTTGTTCCATTGCCAACTATTTGACCTTCTTCGACTATTTCATCCTGCGAATTTTTTACAGCATCTTTTTCAAAAACCATTTAGGGTAATGTAAATTCGTGGTTTGTTTTTTTTCCACTCCCTTTCTTATCCGAGTTTCTTAGTTTTTTGTATATAAAATTGCGGAAAACGAAAGAACCAAGCCGACAGCAATTTTGAGCAAAACCTTCTAAATTCCCTTATCAGGGGCGATATTTTCTAAGGCTTCTCAAAAAGAGTGTTAGGTGTATTTCGTTTGCTTTAGGTGGGAAAACATATATGCACGCGAGAGCTATACCTGAAAGGCCAAATAGTAACGAACAATATGAAGAGTAAAAACTTTAAGGAGTGACATTAAAAGGTCTGTCAGCCAACCAAAAATTTGATTTTTCTAGCACATGTTGGATTCCAGGTTCGCCGAAAAACCAAATCTCTCGCAATCTTTTTGTCTACGGTTGAATAGTGAAGTTTTTTTTGAATAATTTGGGCATTTCAAAGTTGCTGGTTACTGGGGAGACTGTTAAAACCAGTTTTCGTTTGTTGTTTAGTCGTTGTGCATTTCAAACTATGTTTTTTTTAATTGGTAGGGCTAGTTGCGAGGCAATGCTGTCCATTATGGGATAAATTGTGGTTGTGACAGCAAGAATTGGGGTATGAATATCGCTCAGACCCATGATACTTTTCAAAGCTAGTCAAGCATCCCGTTTTCCGATAGAAAATTCATGATTATGTTCACCCTTCGTTCTAACAAACTTTTCTCCATCCGTAATTGTTGTTGATATACTGAGAAGTTTCTGTTCGTAGAGGTTTTTGTTTTTATTTAAGAGGCCAAAATGTGCTCTGGATAGGCGCACAGTTTTGTGTCTGTTTGTTCCTGGGTTCCAGAGACGAGTCTTTCAACATATTAAAAATTTGTCAGAACAATCAAAGAAAATAAAAGAACAAAAGAAGAACAAAAGGAGCGTCCTTGTTGCTGAATCCGCTTACAATTCACAAAATGCACAGTTGGCCTTGTTATTTTGCGTTTAAGAAAGTACTCGTGGCCTTTTATCACTACTGTTTGTTTTTGGAAGTGTATGTAAAATGGACACTTGCGTTAAGCATTAAAGCTCAAAGAATGGTATAAGAATGTTTAAATAGCAGGGCAGGTTTCTCTAAATAAAACTCACAAACGCTTTCTGTTTTCTTCAATTAGCACTATGTGGGTTATCTCTGTTTTAAATGCCTGAACGAGGAATTAATTCCTTAGCTAGTCAAAAGGCAATAATTTTTAGTCAAGTGCATCAAATGAATTAAGAATATTTTTTTGGGCTGGATCAAAATAATTGGAATACTGCTATTATTGTAGTCATACTGAAATTGAAACAAATTATAGGTTTTAAAAGAGGTTAAATTTTAATGAGGTTATCATGTTACTTGGGGTTATAAGAAAAGGGGTGCAAACAAGGGGGTAAAATAACGTGGGCTTCAAGAGCGGGACATCGCAATAACTAGAAACTACAGCTTATACAATGTCTTAAAACCTTTCAGGCAAAAACTGATAGCTCGAAGAAACAAATAGCAGCACGAGGTGTGTCTGCCAAAAACATCGAAGCGTCTGTTCAGAAGAGGCTGCTGGCCAGAAAATCCTCCCAGCAGCCCCTAGTGTCAATCAAATCACCCACCCTGGACAGAGTTGTCAAAGAAGTTGGATCAGCCAGGGAAAGGACAGCTGGTGGTTCTTTATTCGGTCAACTGACTGATTTGAAAGTTGCCAAAAATCTTCAGAAAAAGAAAAATTTGCTAGTCGCGCAGAGGCAAACTGCTTTTACACGTACGCTGTTTTTTATTCGTTTTTTTATATCCTATTTTGGAATCTTAGTAACATGCCTTAAAAAATTAAATTTATACAGAATGATTTTAGTTTTTGCCCAGCTAATTCTGTATTCTGTTTTAAAAGATTTTATTCGAAAAGAAGTGACTTTTAAAAGGTTTTTTAACAAACTTTCATTGTGCGAAACAACGCAAACTAGCTATGATTTTTTCGTTGTAAATTGAGTTTTGGTTTGAATAAAACAAAAACAAATTTTATCTTCTTTTAAACAACCGGAAAGGCTAGCTGCAAAAAATTGTTTAACAGATTTTTGGGATTTTAGCTTACACATCACAGAATGCTGCAATTGCAAACTGGACATCCAACTCATCGAACAATTACAATTCTTATCCTCAACCGACAGTGAAGGAAATAGATCCCCCCAAGGTACCTGCAAGACCAGCCCCGTCGGCGAAAAGACGACAGACGTACCCGATAATCCGAGACAAAACTCCAGGCAACTCGGATGTCATAGCAAACGAATCGACCATTAGCAACAGTTTTCGAGTTCCGAAATTATCGAATGACATCGGTAAAGCTCTTGGAAATAAATCAGGAAATGATGATACAAAAACAAAAAGCAACGCGCAGGACGATTCAGATGTTTACAATAGTGTTGGACCTCAAGATCGAAGAAAATCAACGCCGAATTTACAATTCAAAGAACTCGGTGTTCTAACGCCTCGTTTTCAGAATTTCGAAGAAGGCGACAATTCATTCCATCTGAATGTTGAAGATTTGTTGCGCTATGACAGCACTGATCAAGATGGAGACGTGAGTGGTCGGTGCCTGGATTTCGAGGATCCCAAAGGTACTCCTGGAAAGCTACAGACCACGCCGGTGGTCGAAGAAGTTATCGGGTCAGAGAACTCGTCTAATAAACCAACGGGAAGTAAAGAGTCGCAGAAATCTGACGGCGCGATGAGCTACACCATCCGTGCACAATCATGTGCGAAATCACACTCCCACGGAAGTTGTTCGCCACCCAAATACGAACCCCATATTGAGGGTGAAGAACTTAAGAGATATCCAATTTTTGTTACTCATATAAAAAAATTTTATAATGCAAAAAAAGTCTCTTTTTCTGAACATATTTTTTTAAAAAAAGATGAAACCAAAAAAAAGTATATAAGCAACCTTGACAAAAGGCAAGCGTCATTGATGAAAGAATTGATTTTCAATAAGATTCTGTTGCAATTTGCTTGAGCCATCATCTATAATACCTAAATTATGTATATCATTTAAGGATTTAACCATTTAGAATTAATACTTGAGTGATTTTTATTTAATAACCTAATGTTAGTTATGATTGCAGGATCGAGTCGAGCTCCTTTCATGATGACTCCGAAGGGTTTTGGGAAAACGAAGAGCTATGTCCCCCCAAAGAATCTAGACTTGAATGGACAATTGCACTCATTCGAACCTAAAAACACTCCCAGGACCCTGGAGAAGATAATGCAGATGGCGAACCAACAAGCCAAGCTCATATCGAATAGTTCTCATAACATCAACTCGTTTGGTAAGAAAATGCTATCATATTTTCCAGCCATAAAGCATCCGAAAAAAAGATTATGTAGCAAATAAGCAAGTCACAAAATACACAACAAGAGCTCATAAATTAAACAGAATCGAGATGAGAAAACAAACTTACGCAAGAATCATTAAAAAAATAACTTTTTTTTTCGTACGATTGTTTTCTTATCTCGACTCTGATTGGTTTATGATGTTCTACTTTATGACCTGTCAAAATTTTGACTGCATTCTCAAAAAAACACTGACTCCAAACCAGGAGAGTAACACTCAAAATGGTAAAATATAATAACAGAGTAATTAAAAAGCCCGTTAAAACCATTGAATAGTTTAGTGCAAAAAATGGACCCATTTGAGAATTGATTGATACAAAAGTAAGTAATTATTATAAATTATCATAATTACTTTGTTTTATATCTGTCGATTCTCAAGTTTTTTGATTTTTTTTTTCGGCTCGATTTCTAGTGTCGATTTAGACTCCCTGAATGAGGGGAGCTTCAAGTTCAAACCGCCCCCCACTCGACTGAAGAGTGGAGAAAACCTTGTTTCCCATACGCAGACCACCCCTCTCTCCTCCTCCAGTGGGAAAACATCATCAACCATCAGCAGTGCCAACATCAACGACAAATGGGCTGTCGAAGCCAGAAAGGTGCAGTGTAATTTTGAACAGTTTTTCACATCGAAAGCGTGAAAAGTTTCGCTGAAATTTTCAACAGAAAGTTTGAAAAAATTTTCGTATTCGACTTCAATTTCCGAATAATAGGCAATATTTTTTGCTCAATTTTAGTTACCTAAAAGAAAACTCGTAGGGGGAAAAGTGCTGTACAATTTCAAAGCCCTTTAATTCAAAATTTGGTATGCAAAAACATTCTGCAACTTTTTTTACGTGCTTTTCACGAGAAATTTTGTTTTTGGAATTTTAAATTTTCTGGTTTATTTAAGGCGAGATGATAATAGAGTGACAATGACTGGTGACGGTTGATAATTCATTTCAAACCGTCTTTTGCTATGACTAAAATAGCAACTATCACAAGCACCGCTCCCCCCATCCAACAACAACATGACTAACCCTTCTTTTTGAGGACAATTTCAAACTCTTATTCTTATTGACTTATTGATTGATTTTGATATCGTTTCTGTGGTAGCAAGATTCTATTGTACAAATAATATGCTTCTTTGAAGTATTCCGACAAATAGGTCTTAATCCAACTGATTTTTTTATGGTGTTTAGACCCAACAAGCAATAAAAGAATACATCCACAGCCCCAGGAAGTCTACGTCTTCGAACAAGAAACCAGTGAGTGATGAAGTTTTTGCAACTGAAAATTTCCATAGTTTCGATGAAATGTTTTTCGATGAACAAAAAACTGAAACAAATGTATCACTCAAAATTGCTCCAAAAAGCGGAGTTTGCGGTATCCGCAACAAAGTTTGTAAAACTCGAAAAATTTTGTGGAATCCACAAAAAAATATGCGTTATTGCGTTATAGTTTACATTTTTGCGGAACCCGCTCACATTTACGGAATCCGCGTACAATTTGCGCAATCCGCATGCAATTTGCGGAAACCCCTTGCATCATTGAAGTCTACACTGAAATTTCGATGAATCTGCTGATATTTGCGGCATCCGCATACAATTGGTAGAATCCAATGACATTTGCAGGTTGGAGCAACTAGCTATATTCACTCGTTGCAGAATACGCGACAAAACTAATGTGCCAAAAAACTTACGTTAGTCATTTGTGCGCGGAAACCACGGAAACTTTGTTAATGGAATCCACTCACAGTTTGGAACTTGTTGAAGATTTGTCTCTGGATTTCAGTGGGTCACAGACACCAAAAATGTAAGGCTCAATTTGGCCTCGTAATAATGTTTTGTTCACGCTCAAATTGAATTTTCGCGCTTTGATATTGATTTTTTTATCAAGCGAAAAAATCCAATGTCAAACTGCGAAAGGTTGATGGTAAAACATGATCGAACTCCGGTTTCGAAAACGGGTTTTAAAAACAGATTTAAGAAATTGAATTATTGTTTCAGTTTTTTAAGACTGGGTTGTCTCATCAACAAATGTCAATTGTAAATCATTCTTGAAATTCAAAGAACTTCAAGGCCAAAATTTTTTTTTGAAATTTGACAGTTCAAAATTTTGTTTTGTTTTCTTGCGTTCATCGACTATTTTCAAAATTTCTGTCAGGTGTCTGACAATATGTGTGCTCGTTTCAGGACGCAGCTCTAGATGTTCTAATTGCAGCTAACATAACTGATGTAGTTTTTGGTAATAATTAAATTTATGAAAAATTGATCTCTAAATCCTTAACGGGAAATGTCAATTGTTATTTTATACCAGTTATAATAAATCGACTCAGGTTGCAATGATATTTTAGTTGTTGTTTTGTTTTCAAGAAAAATTATTGAAATATTTTTTCACCTAATTAAGATTATTGTAGATTTTTCGTCGTCTGTCTTTTTATTTTGAATTTTTTTGCTAAATTTTTTGTTGTTCAATAAGGTCCTTAAAAACTTTTTAATGCATTATTTTCAAGTTTGGTGGCTAGTTTTGCCAGAAGCTATCGGAAGATTTGAGGTGCGCTGAATTTTTAAAAATTATATGGGTTTGCAATTATTTCAGGATTTGAAAGATAATTTTCAGGGATATTAAAACAGTTTAACATTTACTCACCTCACCGGTGATCAATTGAAGTGAATCAACTTAATTAATGCAATAGTTCTATTAAACGAAAGTTACATTCATTGGTACCTTAACTTTTGGCTGTGTGTGCAAAAGGCAATGAAAATTTTATGGCAGTATAAAATTTTAATTTCATTTATACTCCAAGCAACTTGGGACATAATATAAGGCTGTGGAAGTTTTGAAGTTTTTGCTGCTATAACGCAATAAATGATTCGTTTTTTGACCGTTTTTCTTGTTGTTTTTCAAATATTTTCGGTTTTTTTTGTTTTTCAATTTCTGTAACCATTTTCAACCTTCTATTGAATGTGACTATTTTTGAAACGTTTAATGATTCTGTAAAAATATTTTATTTACTCCAGGTATGAATTTTCGAATTCTTGTATTTATTGTCTCCTCAGAAAGTGCAATTAATCTATGAATGTTACATTCATGTTGACTATTTTAGCGATCGAAGTCAAAAGTCAACGCAGATGGTACTTAAAATCTCTCTAATCTTATTCGCTTATTTCTGATCGCTCTGTGAGTTGCAATAAAATAGAGGAAGAAAATGAGAAAAAAAGACTTTTTTGATAGAACAAAAACGCTATTTTATAAATAAACTTTTTCATTGGCAAAACCCTTGCTTTATTTTTTTTCGCGTCTTCTTCAGTATGTGTATTGTTTGGTTTTGTATGAATTATGTATGTCTGAGACAGTAACATATCTGATGTGTTGCAGATTGCAGAAATGAAAGTCCGAAGCCTAACCCCCTATTAGGAGAAAGAGGAGTTGATCGACCGAAGACATCTAACAAAACAGCTGGTGGTGCTGCCGGAGAAAAGAGCGCAGACTGCTGGTCCCAGATGACCTACTCACCTCTGCCATCCCAAACACCAGTTGCAGGCCAAGTAAGTCAGTATCATTTATCTGCTTCCAAAAATAAATAAGGTTGTTTTTAACACACCAATCATTTCAGTCTAATTTTCCATTTATTTCCAAATTAAGCTGAAATAATTGTCCATTTAATTTTTTTTCACATTTTTTTGATTGATTAACCAACACACATCAAAACTCTAAAATGGGAAAAACTATAAGCTTGATTAAGCAACTGTTTAAGAGTAATCAACGTAATGAGTACTCTTTATAAAGGTCTTGCTGATTTTTTTTTGTTTTTTTTTTCAGGAAAACGTCTTGAAATGCTCTGATAACTACAGATGTGCATTCATACAAATTAAAGCATTTATGGATGCACTTGAATTCATATGCACTAAATGAGTTCAAATTAAATTCATCTGCTGATATTTACGTAATCAGCACTCGCCAAATACGAATGTTGAAATGGCGCGAAAAAACGTGAACGATTTCTGGTTTCGAAAGTGGAATTTAGTTTTTAGATTTCCAGCGGAATAAAAACTCTACATATTGATTCAGATTTCTCAAGTTGGGTTAAGGGTTTCAAAAAGCGCCACTCATAAATTGTTCTAAAAAATCAAAAAGCTGCTTAAAGGGCACTTTTTTTTCTTTGAATTTCGAAAGTTGAGATTTTTTCAACAAAGTCAGTTGGCAATGCTTTGAATTTTAGTCTAAATTGGTTTCCTCATAACCAATTTTTAGTGTGACAGAACGAAATGAAGAAACTTCTTGTCGTTTTTTTGAAAAAAAAATATTAAAAATTTGACCACGTTTAAGTTTAATTTTTTTGCGGTTTGTATTTGTTTTTTTTTTGTAAGCTCAAGTCAACCTCATTTGCTAAGAAAACTTGTCTCGCTTTCCAGTCACGAAAATGTAAGGGCCCCAAAAACCTGAGCGCATTTACTTTCGAAGGTGTACTTTAAATTTTAGAATTCCCAGCGAAATAAAAAAACACTTATTGACCCAGTTTTTATTATTTTTGTTAATTTGAAAAAGGCATGATTATAGCTATTGCAAACTTCTGTTGTCGATGATGGTGCTTTTTCACACTCTTTAAAACGCTTTTGCTTCAATTGGCAAGCATTCTGAAACCAGTTTTCTTTGACCTTCAGAGACCAAAGCCAGAAACTTTGGGTAGGCTAGGAAATTGAGTGTACATCAAACTCAGAAAAACAGAAATCCACACAAAAACAATTTAAAAAACCGGGAAAAACAAACTGATTTTGGCAAGTAGCAATAGTTTGATTAAACAGAGCCAGCGGCAACTATCAAATCCTTCTAAAAGACTTAGGGGTGGGCTTGCTTAGCGTGCGTTGATGCTAAGAGCCGATATCCGACGGCATTTTCTGTAAAATGTTTTGTTTCGAGGGACTAGCAAACCTGCCTGACGAGGCAAAAATTCGTAACAGGCGAAAACTCGTAACACGCTACAATTCGTAACAAGCAACAATTCTTAACAAGCGACAATTCGTAACAGTAGATTAAGCGGGGAACACTTCTCCACGCAAAGTTGTCCTTTTGTGCCAGATGTCAGCGAAGCGGAGCAAAGCGGAGCCAGCGTATTCTACATGCCAATGCCTTGTTACGAATTGTCGCTTGTTGCGAATTGTCGCCTGTTACGATTTGCCGCCTGTTACGAATGGTCGTCCCACTCAAACCTGCAAGGTATATCAGCCCAATTAAATTCGAACAGGACTGATATTGACGTTCAAATTTCCTACATTAATGTACAAAAGATCAAAGGTTTTTAATTAAATAGTTCATTACAGGTGTTTTTGTTCTTTGTTTTTTTTTTCAGGAAAAATTCTTACAATGCTATGCTGTAAAAACAACAGAAAGAAAGTTTTAAAAATTAGTGCTTTTATGAAAGCAGTTAAGTTGATATGAGACGCTCTAATTAGAAAAACTTGAAAGAATGCTTTGTTGATAAAAACCCACCTTTAGATTGAACGGCCTTTACTAACCTAATTGAAAGGGTTTCTGAGTTTTTCCAGTTTAATTTTTCACCTATTTATTTTATTGGCTTAAATGTTGATTGGCCATACTTGTTGTTTGACTTTCACAGTTTGCTTTTGTGATTTGGTTCTAAAATGAATTCAATTATATTTGTTACAGTGAAGGCAAAACACGCTCTTCCATTACAAAAAAGCATTTTTTTTGTGAAAAAACGTTTTTTTTTTAGAATTCTTAGTGGAAAAAAACAGATCTACCCATAAAAAGTTTTTTTGGTTTAGTTTTTCATGAAAAGGCGTTTTAAGAGTTTCCCAGTTTTGTAGATTTACAATTGAAAATTGTTTAAAAACTTCATATGGCATTTTCATTAGGGAAACTTGGTAAAAAAAATGGTTCAATTGTTCTTGCCCAAACGCACAATTGCAAGTTAGAATAGCAAAAACCATTCTAAAGTGATATTAAAAAAATTACACTAAATTGCTTGTGATATATTGCTAACGTGAGATATTTTCAAACTTTTTTCAGTTTACTTAGTTCTTTTTTTTAAAATTTATTGAATTTTCTGTTTGCTATATTTCAGAAAGTTGTATTCACAAAAAAGTTCCGTTTTTCTTTTTTTTTTCGTCTAGGTTCATGTCATTTTGCCTTATGGCAAAACTTCTTTTTGTCACTGAATTCCAAAAAGTTACTTCAAATTTTTTTTCTGTAATTTGATTTTTTGTTGTTGTTCTTCAGAAGCTAGCAGACTACCTTGTGTTGAACAGATGAAAACAAAAACATTGAAGACAGAGAAGAGAAGAAAAGACCGCGGCTTGAAAACTAAACCGAAGAAGACTTAGAATATCAAAAACGGAAGGAATGAATTGAAATTTTGCAAAAAGAACTGAAATTACTAGTTATTTCAATTACGGGGTTTTCTTATCATTGGGCAATTTTCGAAATGAACACATAGACTAACCAGCCGCTGTAACAATATGTGCTCCACAAGTCTTGTCATTTGTTCAAGTTATAGGAAAAATTGTATCGCATTTTGGAGTTGTTTGAGTCAGGCCGGATGTTTGAAACGAATAAGCGTTGAAATAGATCAGACAGTTTAGGACCACATAAAAGTAATTTTAAACTGTCCTAAACTGACTGATGGTCGAGCTTATTGGGCATTTGGTTCGTCGCACATATGAAAATAATTTTCTTTTTTGCAGAGCAAAATAACCTGATTGACTTACTTATTAGTGTCACACATTTCGATTCATTCACGTCAAACCTATGAAAAAAAAAATAATAAATCGTTTTTCCTATATAGCTTAAATGATGTTTTTTTTTGTGGCCGATGAAAAATTAGGTAAAAGGTCAACGTAAGTTCAAACAATTCATTTTCCGGGGTGAAATTGATTCTTAATGAAAGCAAGGAAAACTATTCAATTTGTGAAACTGGATAGACCTATTGGAACCTGATCTAAACTATATTTTATGATTGGATAAATTAAATGTTTTACCAATGTAAAGTATTTAATATTAACCAATCATGATCCATCTAACTAACAACCCACTTATTTGTAAGTGCTGAAGTTACTTGTAATTTCAGCACCAGAGAGATTTGAATTTAACTTAGAAATTAGTTGGACTCTCCCGAGCACTTCAGCAGCCGCATTAAACCAGTATACCCTAGATCTATTGAGCCTAGCAGAGACTAGTTAAACAACCTGAGACTAGATAGTATAAGAGTAAGATTAGGATCGGTATTAGACTAAGAAGTTGCACGAATCTATCCGGCCGAAAATAAGATAGCGTGACGAGCAGACGGTGTACCCTATCCGAAATTACTCTATGAGTTAACCACATCGGTCCTAACTCATCTGGTGCGACCATAAGTCTCGAACAAGACCTTAATAGATTAGAATTAACCAAAATAGATTAGAAATTAGACAAAAACATTTACAAAATGTTATACGACAATAATTTAATTGAAATGTCTCTCCGACTCAATAGATCAGAGCCAATATTCCGAACCATAACAGAACTACCCGGAATTGGAAGAAGACCTCGAACCAAAGACGACATACGACAAAGTAGAAACTTGCCGTATAGTTATATGATAGTTCGGCAAAAGCCAGAACAAACTTTTATATTTCGAATACTACTTGCAATGAATTTAGATTTCCATTTGCAAACATAAAACCTTGAAGTTACTCTTCAAAATCATTTCAGGCGCTAAACAAAATTATTAATATACAATAACGATTGATAAAAAGATCTAAGATCGTTCTCCTAAAACTCTGCAGTAATATACAAAATATGTTTGAAAAATATTTATTGAAAAATAAAAATAAAAATTAGTAGCATGACAATAAATGGTTAGTAATCATAAATCATCCTGTTGTTCCAGCTCTATCACCTAAAACATAACAGCAATTATAAACCAACTAACATCATCAAAACACTAAATCTTTCCTTTACACACATTTAAAATTTTATTAAAACTTAAATTCACTTAATTTTAAAACCAGATCATCAAGGCTTATCCTTGGATCTTAAATCATTTTCTACTTAATTAAATTTCAAATTTGATCATCAAGGCTTATCCTTGGATCAAACAGAACAACTTTGTTCTCCCCCACCCACTTAATTAGTGTCTAACGACCTCAAACGTCGATTCACTACCCAACCCTTTCTAAAGACCTAAGACTAATAGAAATTTTTAAACAAAACTAATCATTCAAATTAGGATAAACAGTGAAGAACTTCGGTTATTCATCCTTCACTTGACCCCCCCTCTTACCAGACCCAGGATAAATCTTAGACTTAGTAAGTTTAAAATAGTATCTAACGAACTACTCGCGTTCTAATTATACCTGAACCTTGTGGATCGATTTACTATTCTCCAACCCTCGAACACAATCACTACCCCTAAGTAAGATTAAGTAAGTTAACACCTTAACTTATACTAGCCACGAGAAAGTAAAAAATCATTCTTCGGAATCGATATACCTTTCTCTCCAACCCTGAACAAATAGACCCAGGTTAAGCTAACCAAAAAATCGTAAGAACTAACAGTTTAAGAAAATAGAAATCATTTAACAACCTTTTGCATCCGTCATCCTAAACCTTATGTCATTTAAAAACCTAGGAAATAAACAAACAATCGTTTTACACAATTGTGAAATAGATAACAAAAAATACGACCTTGTAATCACACCTCATACACAAACAGTTGGATACATTCGAACAAAACGACAAACACTAAAAAGAAAAATAATAACGAAACAAAGACAAATAACACGAAAAAGATTTTCAAAAAATCGAAACGCATTTTCAGAATCAGAAACCAACAGTTTAGACGAACTTTACAAACTAAAAGAATCAATAGATAGAAATTGCCCAATTCACGATCAATTATATTTTTCTGACTCAGAAACAACTTCAAATTCATCAAAAAGAGGAAAAAGAAGAATAAAAAAGCAGTACAAACACAAACCAGTACACTTATACAATTGGAATCAACCAATTCGACACATTAATAATTACATATTAACAGTCATCGAACGAAAAAATGAGCTCAACGCACACTCCAGGTGAAGAAAGTCCAGATGATGATGAAATCTTTCCTTTTATAGTAGACGCAGATACTGATAGAGGACAACACATATTTTGTCAAAATTTACTCGTAAATTTATTTGAACCCGGAATCAGTCCATGTAAAACAGAGTTCCCCGATGTAAAAATCAAAAGACAAATCATAGATCACTATCTAAAAGATATATGCAACATAACACAACAGTATGGAATCTACTCCATAGAATTCACCTCACCAAACCATAATAATAGAAAATATACAATTCAAACAGACGATCTTGATTTAGAATTTTCAAAAGTTTTTTCAGAATATATAAAAAGCATCCAATATCATAACTCACAAAGAGCAAACTCCATATTCACCAATGAAGTTTTCGCAATAATATATAGTTATATTTCGATATTAGAAAACGAAATCCCAATAACAAATGTCTCACCGACAGAAACATCTAAACATTTAAGAGTACGACATGAAATCACACTACTCTCTAGTTATTTAAACATCATTAAAGAAAATTTCACGAAAGACGACGTTTCACAGCATACAAAACACGATCTACAAAAAATTTTGGCATGGTTCATAATAGATTATTTCACACACAATATTGATTTAATTGCACAAGCAAGAAAAAATTTTAGACCCCAAAATTCGAACGATGATACCGCTATCACAGAACAATCAGATTATGTTTGGGACCCCGAATGGTCTCATCCCGCATTTATAAGCTTTCCACAATCAATCTCAAGTCAAGCAATAGGTACAATATCTTACATAAGAGATTATGTAAGAGTAATACCATTAACAATTGATGCAACACCATTAAACTATAATACATTTTTACCCGATACACAAAATAATAGTTTAAACTCTACAGTTATACACAATGAAAACCTCAATGGAACTAGGAATCTTACTCAACAAGATATCCAGACACCATCACACTTCATAAATGAAGAAATTGTACACACAACAACTACACAACAAAGTATTTCACCAATACGCCCAAATTTAACAACACCAAGAAATACAAATCCTTCACAAACACAGGTAACCTTACAATCAACCGTTAAACCTTCGGTTGCCCCTAAATATTCACATATGGATTACCAAACATACAGACCCATGACAATACCATCAAAAACACGCAAAACATTCACTAGAAACAACTTTACAGACCATAATTATAATTATACACATCCATCAAAAACATATAACCAACCACAAAGAAATTTTAACCAATATACAAGATCTCGAAATTGGGATAACCCAATGACCCAACCTAATTCAATAAATTTCCAAACAAATCCTCCACAGGATCACAGTGAAAATTACCCATTTTTTCAACAAAATAAAAATAAAAAACAGACATCTTATCAAATGGATTATTTATCCTCAGATGATGATTTCTTACAACCAGATATATTTGCACAAAATACTCAAGAATATCGTAGACAAGGAATACAGAGAACACGTACAAATCATAGAAATTTTTCTCCACAACCAATAGATGCACAACATCAACAACCAATTCAACAACAAAATTTAATTAATACACAATCTTTTCAACCAATTCAACAACAAAATCCAATGACTGCACACTCGTATCAACCATTACAAATGCAAAATGAAATACCACTCCCATATTATCTCCAACAACATGAAATAACAAGAAACCAACTTTCGAATTTTTCTCAAATGCCAAATGCAGCAGAATCATTACAAATGACAATGAATCCATACCTTATGGGTGGATCATCAATAACATCAAACAAACCTTTAATGGTTTTCACAGGAACAGACCCTGAATATTCTGTAGAAGATTATTTAAATGCAGTAACAGCAAACCTGATTTTAAATATTGGACCAGAACCAATTAATACGCCACTACATCAAAATTGGATACATCGACGCACAGCGTTAATACAAACAACCTTAGATGGCGCAGCCCAAAAATGGTTTTCAGTACTACCTCTAGAAATAAAATCAAACTGGAAAAGGTTTACACAGGAATTTTCAAAAATGTTTGACTCCGAAAGAAACAAACAACAACAAAGAGTTTTATGTAATGAAATTCGCAGATTACCAAACGAAACCATCAAGCAAATAGCAGTACGAATCGAAACACTAGTTCGAAAAGCATATTCATTAAATACACATGACTATAAAAACACAAAGATGACAGAAATCTTAATGATGACCTTAACACCACAATTAAGGAAAATAGCAATAAAAAAGAGAGCATCCCATCCTTCTTCAATTCGAGAACCCGATTT